TTTTTTATTTCTCGGACACAACATCTTTGTTTGTATGTGGTGCTGAGGATCAAACCCGGGCCGCACGCATGCATGCCAGGCAAGCGAGCTACCGCTTGAGCCACATCCCCAGCCCTTGTTTTGTTTTTGTACCGGAGATGGAACCCAGGGCTTCAAGTATTCCAGGCAAGTGCTCCATCATTAAGGTACACTCTGCACCTGTGGCAAACTTTTGTCAGAGCTTTTTGTATTCTGGAACTGAGACTAAGGAGCTGTAAACTCCTATGGTAAGTGCTGCCCGGTTGAACTTTCTGTGATGATGGAACTCTTCTGCAACATTTGCAGTGTAGTAATGAACTGTGTAATATGGTACAAATTAATAACATGGCTCCTGGGCTCTTGAAATGTGGCTCATAAGACTGAAGAGCTAGGGCTGGTGATGTGGCTCAAGCTGTAGCACGCTTGCCTGGCATGCGTGCGGCCCAGGTTCGATCCTCAGCACCACATACCAACAAAGATGTTGTGTCCGCCGAAAAATAAAAAATAAGGAAAAAAAAAAAAAAAAAAGACTGAAGAGCTAAATTTTAAATTTAATTAAATTAACATAAATGGCCACATTTGGCTAGCGGCTATCATGCTGGACACTGTAACCTATGAATACCCATAACCTAAAATCAATGAGAAGGGAGAGTTCTGGAATTTAAAGCCCATTTATCAAGTTTCCATGAAGTCTATTGCTAAGAATATCATATTACATTGATGAAATCACTCCTCCCAGTAAAAAACAGCCCCACCCCATTTGTTTATATACATCATAGTTCAGTAAAGAGCCTTTTTATTTTGTGAACCATTATGAAAAAATATACTGCCCAGGAAACTATGACACACTATCAATTTTTTAAGACATAACCTAATCTAGAGATGATAATATGTGAAAAAAAGGGCATCTCAGATGTCTTTAAACATTAGAATCCTTATACCATAACAAAGTAGCTTTTTTTTTTTAAACTTTGCTTCTGTTCTCCATTTTACACACACACACACACACACACACACACACACACACACACCCAGTAAAGCTGAAGCACAGGGCAGGGAAACGGCTGACTCCCCTTTCTCCTATTTGCTTCTAAGGCAACACTATGGAACTCCAAGGGACGGATCAAGTAGTAATTTGAGAACCACTAAAACGTATTACATTTTAACATGGTAGTTTCCTTTAAGTCATGCACACACACACACACACACACACACACACACACACTTACACATATTTTAAAAAGATTAAAATACTAGCTCTTTATAACTTTTTCCTATTCCACTGCTTGCTTTCTTACCGTCTGTGGGCGGCTGAAATGTAGTTTCTCTCGAACTTCATGGGACAAAGACACATCCCTGAGAGTCAAATAGTCTAGGTCTTTTGGCAGCTGGAGAGCTTCTTCTCGTTGAACTTCCTTTATTTCTTGTAGCTGATGGTTCAATACTGATTCATAAGTGGCTGGGGAACAAAATTAGAATTATATTTAAAAAAAAGAATTATGTTATGTACTCAGATTATACTAATAACCTACATTTATATAGCCTTTTACCTTTTGTAAAGAGCTTTTGCAGTATCATCTCATTCAATACATCACAACACTGAGAGAGAGGTGGAGCAGATGAAGAAACTGAGGCCAAGATAAAGGGAGCGTCTTGTGTGCTAACAACAAAATTCTGTCTAGCAGTTTAATGGATATCTTTTTATTTCAAATATGGAAAAAAATTTATTTTTATTTTTTTAGATAGACCTTTATTTTTTCATTCATTTATTTATATGCAGTGCTGGGAACTGAATCTAGTGCCTCATACATGTTAGTCAAGTGCTATCCAACTGAGCCACAATTCCAGCCCTCAAAGATGGAAAATTAAGTTAAGAAATAATTTGTGCCAGTAGTGGTGGCACATGCCTGTAACCACAGTGACCAGGAAAGCTGACGCAGCACAATCACTGTTTGAAGCCAGCCTCAGCAACTTAGCAAAGCCCTAAGGAACCCTACAAGACCCTGTCCCAATATAAAAATAAAAAGGGCTGGAGATGTAACTCAGTGGCAAAGTAGCCCTAGGTTTAATCCAGTACAAAAAAAGAAAGGAAAAAAAAATGTTTTCCTGTCAGTGCAAATCTTGGTTGAAGCATTTACCTCAATAGGCTATGGGTTCAAATTCTAAGTCCTAATGGTAAGATATTTTTCTACAAATGGTTCTCTGAATGACCTCCATATAAAACTATAATAGATTAATTATATTTTCTTGCAATACTGAAGGGATTGAATTCAGAGTATAACACATGCTAGGGAAGTGCTTTATCATTGAGCTGTATCCCTAGCCTTTTAATTTTATTTTGATACAAAGTCTCCCTAAGTTGCCCAGGCTAGCTTCAAACTTGTAAACCTCCTGAGTCAACCTCCTAAGTACTTGGGATTATGAGCCAGGTATATGCCACCATGCCTGCCTCCAAAACTATAATTTTTAAAGTACAGCTTCTTAGTTGACAACACTTAACTTATTTAGCAGAACTGGAGATTGAACCTAGGGCCATGTATACTGTGCTATATTCCTGTACTTTTTATTAAATTTTTTTTTTTTTTTTGGGTACTGGGGATTGAACCCAGAGGTGCTTAGCAGTGAGTTACATCCCCAGTCCTTTTTATTTCTAATTTTGAGACAGAATCTCAGTAAGTTGCTAAGGGCCTCTTTAAGCTGCTGAGGCTGGCCTCAAACTTGTGATCCTTCTGCCTTAGCCTGCCAAGTCATTGGTATTACAGGAATGTACCTCAGTGTCCATCCAACATTACTTCTTGTCCATTTATTTTATTTATTTATTTTTTTTTAATATTTATTTTTTATTTCTCGGCGGACACAACATCTTTGTTGATATGTGGTGCTGAGGATTGAACCCGGGCCGCACGCATGCCAGGTGAGCGCACTACCCCTTGAGCCACATCCCCAGCCCTAATATATTATTACTTGTATTGGATCATTTGGAAAAATGATTCTAGAATTTGATGTAAATACCACACCATCATACATCATCCAGCTTTTCCTACCCTTCTCCCCATATTATCCTGTTATGTATTTTTTCTTTTTTCTTTTCTGTACTTTTTAATTACATAATTTTCCAGGAAAAATCTATCAAAATGCAGAAGCAAATTCTCTGTATTTTTGTGTTAAAAAACTTTAAAAGAAATCCAAAGACATTGTGTCTTTCATGGTCAACAAATTGAACAAAAAAATAGGACAGCATATCATGTGTTACAATATATAGGGGCAGACTCTGAATTTCTTTGCCTGATAAAGTTTTTTTTTGTCTGTTTTGTTCTGGTACTGGGGATTTAACTCGGGGGTGCTTTATCATTGAGCTACATTCTTGGCTCTTTTAATTTTCTTTTTCTTAATTTGTGGCAGAGTCTTGATAAATTGGTCAAAGCCTCACTAAGTTGCTGAGGTTGGTCTTGAACATATAATCCTCCTGCTTCAGCCTAAGTCACTGGGATTACACATGTATGCCACCACGTCCAGCCTTGTTTTGTTTTGTGTACCAAGGACTGAATTTAGGGGCATTAGACCATTGAGCCACACTCCAGCTCTATTTTATATTTTATTTAGAGACAGGGTCTCAGTGAATTGTTTGGCACCTTAGTTTTGTTGAGGCTGGCTTTGAACTCATGATCCTCCTGTGTCAGCTTCCCGAGCCACTGGGATTACAGGTGTACATCATTGTACCTGGCAATAGCTCTTAATTGATCTGTTGTTCATTCATAATTTGCACAAATGGAAGAATATACAGATATCTTAAGTAACAAATTATTTTCTTTTTCTTTTTTTTTTTTT